TTGGTTGAGGAGGTTCAATGCGCAGGGATCTGGGTGGCCAAAGGAAGCACTCAACTCCCTACTACTGAGATCCTCCTGCCCCTGAGATGGCTCTTTTAAACACATGCTAGAGTTTCAAGTTTTTACAATTACAGTGAATTTTGCTAACACCACAACTGAGTCATACCATCCTATCAGTATCTTGTTCCATTTCTCTCTAACCTAGACACAGCTGGGCAGAAACGTTGTTTTGTGGGAGTTACAGGCTATGGCTAAAGAAGGAATTAGATAATTCACTATACCACATGAATAAAATGGGGGAAGAGGCTTTATTTGAGAACATATAGCAGAGAGTTTTCCAGAATTGGTAAAGACATGAATCCCAACATTAAAAACACCAGAGAAATTTTGAACAGGATGAATAAAGATAAATGTGTGCCTTCATATGAGAGTTAAACTGAAGATGAAAAGAAAGCCTACAAAATCTTAAAAGCAACCAAAGAGAAAAATATATTAAACTGCTTGTCCATTCGATTGACAGCTGACTTCTCAAAAGCAAAATAAAAACTAGAAGGCTAATTTCTAAGAGGGCTCCTGGTGTGGTGCTGTAGGGTCAGTACTGGACTGGGAACCACAAGGTCAGCAGTTCAAACCTACCAACTACTCCTCAGAAACCTTGTAGAGGGTCACTATAAGTCGGAACCAACTCACTTAACAGTTTTTAAGAAGTAGATCACCAGGCCTTTCTTTAGAAGCACCTATGAGTGAACTCAAATCTCATACCTTTTTGGATAGCAACTCAATACATTCAACATTTGCACCACTCCAGGCCTCCAATAAAGGAACTCTGGTAGCATAGTGGTTTCAAGTTGGGCTGCTAACGTCAAGGGCAGTAGTTCGAAACTACCAGCTATTCCTGAGGTGAAAGATGAGGCTTTCTGCTCCTGTAAAGATTTCCAGCCTCAGAAACCCTATGGAGTGCCGCTATGTGTCAGAACTGATTTCCACATCACACCATCACCACCACCACCACTAGGCCTCCAATAAACTCTGATTTCTTCAATATTCACTATACATCATTCTCCCCTGTGCCTCAGCTCCACTCAGTTTAGGAGTCAGCCTTATGAGGTTGCTAACTGAAGCATGGAGAGGAGGATAGACGGAGCTAGTATGAGCCCGGGGTCTGGCTCTAGACAGGAACCATGGATCTAGCAGAGGCCTGGCACAGAATAGGCACTCAAGAGCGAGAAACTGAGATATTCTGTCTGGTGCTGCCTCCCCTCTTCCCAGATGTCCCCCAACACAGTCACGGAACTGACCAGAGACCATTCCCTGAACCCCCAAAGATCCCTTCCACCTGGCCTCCACACTCCCTAACAAGGAGCAATGGAAACCAATGATATACAGTATCTAGAGGAATGTTACTGATATTCCTTTCAAAGACTCCCATTCATACATCAGTAAATATTGGGTTTTACTACTACCACTACCTGTTGATTATCGTCAAAGCACTATTAAAGACACTCGTTTACTACAATAGCATCCAAAGCATTTTAACTATATTCCACCCTTGAACACACAGTAACCCTGTGACATAGGTACTATTTTATCATCCCCATCTTTTAGATGACAACATGCCCAAAATGACAGTGCAACTTGAAGTCAGCTTCAGAAAAGGCCTTCATCAACCTCAGCCCCTTCACAAAGTTATCAAGTGCATTGCCTCCGAGCCTGGGATCACTGAGCTTAAACCCCATCTTGAAGAAACAACTCTCCATAAAGAAATGTTCCCACATGCCCTCCAAGCATATCCATCAATCAGCATCACTAGTAACCAAGGATACACAAAGCCCCCTCACCTGGAGGGCTGATCCATGTCTCCTCTTGGGATTTCTTGGCCTGGACTGTTTGTTTTGCTTCATTCTGTCCTGGCATCTGGGTGCAGCACTGTACAAGATGGCTTAATTGGGCAAGCAAAGGCCCAAGAGACTCAATGGCTCAGAGGGAGAAACATGGGACCTTGTCTGCCAATTGCAAAGTTCTCACCATGGCAACTCAATCTAGGATGTTCTGGCCCAGCACAATACTTTTCTAGTAACATGGCTGGTTTCCCATCATTCCTATTACATTTTCCTATCATAATTTCTTCCCTCTGGGAACACAACTTTCAAGTTAGGCATTATCACAATGCAATTTACCCATTTTAACAAAGTCCAACTACTGCTCTATATAAACACATGAAGTCTCAGCTACTTTTCCTTTACTAAAGGTTAGAGAGATTAAGTGGATGGTGAGTTGTGGTCCAAATATGCCTTGCAGTCCAGTGCACAGCACCACATCAGGCTAAGTGCCAGTTCCGACCCAATAGCGACCCTGTATAGGGTTCCGGAGGAGTGGCTGGTGACCTTGAACCACTTATTCAGTGGTTCAAACTGATCTAGCAGTTCAAACCCACTTTTCAGTCCAACATATGAACCCACAGCACCACACCAGGACCCCAGATGTTGAGATTAGGATTCAAGTATTATGGGCACAGAGTGGCTTGCTACATTAATATTCAAAAGACAGAACTCTACCCTATGAACCACATCCCATTCATAAGGCAGGATACGGGTAGCTGCTACCATCCTGGAGTCCATGTAACTTTGAAGGCACCTCATTAGTGCAAGAGCATCCACTCACTCCAAACACCTTTTGAGAAAAAGTCTTGCAAACTCAGTGACAGCTAAGCGCTCAACTGTGTGGTTCTAACTCTTCCAAGCACCTTTGTACTTCCATAAAGAAAACTCCACTGGGCCTTGCTTTCACCTTAAACACCCATCTTGCAGCAATCTTGCCAAAATGATAAAAACAAAGAGGGATAGAGGTACTTTCTATGGAGCTGTTCCTTTGGCCACAGGAAATGAAAGGTGATGCTGCAGATAAAGGGAATGCCCTACAAATGTGACCAAGGCAAAGTGTGTAAAATGTGGCCCAGAATACCCTCAGCATTGTGGTGTTAGCAAGATTCTTGCTAACAGAATATGCATTGAGCATATTAAGCTGAGACTCAAAAAAGGAATCCAAAGAAAGTTACAGCTAGACTCAACTGAAACCATAGCCTACTTCACCCAGAGATACAGAACCAGTGGAAATGTGTTCAAGCCTCTGGAACCTGTTACTTATCATTAATGGTTATAAAATTGAAACCTACAAATGTTAGATTTAATTGTTTAGAAAGCAAAGACCTTACTAGGGTTGCTGAGAGTTACTTATCATAAACCTTAAACTGAACATAGTAATCTGCTGGTGTCTCACTGCTCTAGACATTAGGTTGCAGGCCTGCTTGGTGCCACCATGGGATTCCTACACTCCCTGGCTTTGTTGTTGAATGTTGACTGATAAGTGACCCTGTACAGGGTTTGAGGGGTGACTGGTGAATTTGAACTCTGCAATAAATTCATTGCTTATCCTAGAATGCAGTGCTGTTTCATGTTGCTGTTCTTAAGTGCCTTCCAGTACAGTTTCCAAGAAGCAGATTGAACCACGGACCTTGCAGTTCAAACACATTAGCCCAAATGGCACCACACCAGGACTCTGTTCCCATACTACCCTTCAATACTCCAAACCCCACCCATCTATCCTGCAGAAGAAATAAGACAGCAGACTGTTAGAGAAATACTGATTTTAATTAAACATAAGGTAAACTCTAGGCATTCATTTTTTTTTTTTTGCCTAAAAAGTTGTGAAATTTTTGAGACAAGGCACCGATCCCATACCCCCATCTTTGTCATGTGGCTCTTGGCAAAAATAGAAAACATAAAAGTGTTACAGAACAATAGCCCATAAAATGTGTCTTTTTCTTCAGTTTAGAAAATAGCACCAGTTAGACTAAAAGGTATTAAAATGTCATTACAGCAGCATTTCTTAAATGCAGCTTGTATGACCTCCCATTCCCCCTTAAAAATGACTTAGCATGGCATAAAAAAGGATTTAAAACTATCTGGAGGGAGGCATAGCTTTGATTGCAATCCTTCCCCACTCCCTGCCTCTTATCTGAGGGTAAAGCCTGAGCAATGTGGTTCTGCCCTTCACTGTTACTGCTGAGTTTAGGAAACAGATGAATTGGAGTATCATGCTCCTCATCTGGGGAGAAATTGGGGTGCTACTCTTGTAGTATAGGGTTATGCCTAAGCATCCTACTTTATCTCACACAGATTGACATAATATGTTTTCATAATATATAGCAGTTTATAATTCAAACACCCCCTTCCTGAGCAACCTCAGCAGGTTCTATTGCAGTCCCTGGATGAGGGATTTAGCTAAGGGTGGTCCTGCCCTGAATGTGATGATGTCATCCCTGCTGAAATCATCATTTTGGGGGAAACTACTCTCCTTGAGACCAAGAGCAGGCTCTGACCCTTGTACTGAGGCAGGGGGACTGTGCTTGGTAAAAATTCAAGATCTATTCAGTTATTTGTTCTTCTGCTAGCCCTAGAAGAAAACTCAAAAGCATCCTGGACCCTTTAAATGTCCCTTAGCTGCATGTTCCTAGCTGTGCACACTGAATATGGAGCAGCAAACAAATAGTAATTAACATCTTACATTAACAAGTCTTCAGGGACTTTTCTGCATTAACCTGAGTATCGGAGAGCTGTCGGCACTGTGATTTTGGTATCCTATTGTTTCTCTGAGTGGTAAACCCAGGAATTTAAAAAAAGCAAATTTTACTATCTATTTCAAGTTTTAAAGTTTAAAAAGAAAGCAAAAAACAAAAATGAGCACCGTGTTTGGCTACTCTGAGTAACCAAGTTGTGTACAAGGAGGTGGCACCTTGGGCTTGTGGCAACAGAAGCCTTTGAAAGAGCCTCTCCCTGCGGCAGAGAGTAGGCAGCTAGGCTCCTACTGATAATGGAGTAAACAGGAATGGGGTGTGTTCCCACACAGCTAGATTGAGGCAGGGTAGAGGCTGGTGAAGCCCACCTCCATGGTTCTGGCCAGGCCCATACCCTCCTCAGTCCCCTAGCTGGCCTGGGATGGGACTATTCACAGGCAAAGTAGTCCTTCAGGGGGGCGAAGAGATGTCTGATGACAGGCACACTCCAGGATCTCCCTAGCAGCTTCTGGCGGGCACCACGGCCCATGTTGGACACATCCGTGTAGTGTACAGGAAAGCCGAAGATCCTGCAAAGGCACCAGGGTGAAAACACAAGGGGGTCAGGAAGGCCATCTACAGCTTACTCAGAGCCTCCGGACATGCTCACCATGGCTGATCAAGGACTTTAGTCCTGCCATTACGGCCTTTATATGAACTCTGTTCTGACTCCAGAAGAGGACAGGTACTTCAGGTCTCTAGGAGGGTAATTTGCCCCAAAAGTACATCTCCCAATACTACCACCATGATCTGAAGCCACACATATTACTCAGTGGAACTTTCTTGAATGAATACCAAGCCAGCAGGCTAATGATGGTATGAGGTAACCAATTATTTAACAGGGAACTAGAAGTCTTGCAATAACATTGCAAGTTATCAGTTACTGATGTAATTTACCAGATTTATAGTTGATTAGAGGAGCCCTGGGCTCACACAGCAAGGTCAGCATTTCTAATATACCACGGAGAAAGATGGGGGCTTTCAGCTTCCATAAAGATTTACAGCCTTAGAAAATCCTATACAGGGCCAATAAGACACAATCATCAACAACAACACTCTTAAGCATCTTGGATGAAATACCCAAGGTAGACTTGGGACAACCAAATACATCAAAAATCCCCTCCATGAGATTCCGCCAGCTGAACCTAGGGTCTTAACTATATTTATAATGTAAAAATAAACCCATACCAAAGGGCCAATGGCTGAATGTGTATAAGAAACATGCATATCTTAACAGCTCCAATCTGACTCTTAACCTTACTCTCATGTCTAGGTTAGTATAGATTTGCGTTGCCATGAATAGGATACCTACCAGCTTTTCTTTTCAAAGAAAGATTTATAGTAATTCTCATTTCAATTCTAGTTTATGAAGCAAAATTTTCTAAAACACTTTATCACCTTACACAAAAACAAAAGTAAAACCAACAACAAAAGAATAAACATTGAAAACATGACTGAATCTAAATCGAAATTATATACGTGTGTGTGTATTATACAGATAAACACCAACTCAGCAAAATAGAGGGGAGGAGAAAAGGAAAGGGGGCTTAAGAAGAGATCATCAACAGAATATGAAACTAGGCAATTGTTCAAGCAATGGCTTGTCTGTTAAACTGGTTCCTCCTACCTCCAGGTGCCCCAGCATGTCTGGGCAGGAAGACAGATGGTGCTATTTAATGACCTCATATTTCAGATTCTCCCATCCCCGGACCATTCAACATTCACTATCTCTAAAAACAGTTACTGGGAGCCCCGCAGGTCCAAAGAAACCAGGAAGAATTAAGGAAGGCAGCTGCCCACCTTTGCTGCTGGCCTAAGCACATGCTGCTCACTTTCTGACCTTGCTCACCTTTCTAGCTCAGTGCACCACAAAACATCTTCTTTGCCATTCATGACAACAGGGAAAAGTTGGTTTTTCCCCTGTCTGATCGAGTTCGACTTGGTGGTTATTGTCTGTACTTTCTTTAACTGGAGAACAAAACAACATGGAATGAGCAGAGATGAGTCAAGGCTCAGAAGCACCTTGGGAAGAAGGCAAGAGGTAGGGCAGTTTAGGAGAGGGTGGCAGGGTTGGGCACACAAAGGGAGTGAAAAATGAGAGTTGAAAAGAAACAACACTTGGTGCTTCCTATATATGCCAATGTTTAACAAACAGGAAGTACCAACCTCAGAGAGAATGAACTAAACTTTTTAAAGAGGGAATGTAGGGAATGGGGACCATGAATAAAGATCACACAGTGGCCAAAATACAGTTCATGATCAAATAAGATTATGTAAAAACTAGAAGCCACCAGAGGTAGGTGAAGATCAGTCAATTGGAGACTGGACAAGAAATCTTAGCTTGAGGCAAAGATTTAAAAATTAGGATTCAGTTCTTAATATAATTTATGTCTCCATATTGTATTAAGAATTGAATGAATTGTTGCTTATGAAAACCTAACCTAATTCTCTCTATACTTTAAGATAGGTGCTCAAAAGGGACAGAATTATGACAGGCCCAACACCAGGGAGTTCTGTGGGTGGAGGGACAGGTATAAACAGTACAAAGATAGTATTTCCCCAGTCCCCATTGGAGGTCACCAAGTGTGTGTTCCAGAGGAATGGGGTATAGACCCAGCCTTACCTTTGCTGTCCTACTGAATTCCAAGCAGTCCTGCAGCTCGAGTTTATCATTCTTTGATGCCATCACAGGCCTGGGAATAGCCAAAACCCATTACTTTCTATCAACTGCAAAGGGGCCTGAGCTATGCATCTCCCAAGGTTGGAGTGGGAAAGAAGAGCTTGATGCTGTTGGAGGTTGCCAAGCCAATGAATGATGGGCTTATCTGGGCCAGTGCTCATGCATCCATGAGAGAAAGAACAATGAAAGGAAGGCACACTGAGTGTGACAGCAGGAGAGGTCTGGGGTCTGAGCCTCCTTACTGAGAGACCTTGGCCAAGTCACATCATGTGTCTGAGTGACAAGTTTAAAGCAAGAATATTAACTTACTTTTGTGGATATACTTGAAACAACGAATACATTAATTTGGAGGCTTTTACAGCTTGGAATGTAGCCAAAAGAGGCTTTAAAGGAATGAAACCTGTTACAGGTTAGGAAGCATAAGACAGAGTTCACCAAAAATGATTATGTTTCTTCTAGAATACATCATTGAAACTGCAAATGCAGAAAGGCAGATGGCAAAGGAAGGGAAGGGCAAAAGACAGTCCTGAAAGTCAAGAGTTGAAAACATCATAGTCTGAAAAAGACTTGATATACAATCAAGGCAGCCTCTGTATAAAGATCTTCAAAGACATCCTGAAGAAACCAGATGTGGTAATTTTCATAAATGAAAACATCAACTTAAAAAACTGTTCCTTAACTAAACTTTAAATGACAAGCTCTCCTCAGCCCTACTTCTATGGACAAAAAATTGAAAAGCTGAAAGACTTAAAGGAGACAAAAGTACAGACATGAGCATGACACAGGTCTTAAGAGATCATTCAGAGCTGCTCTGTTTTTCTCTTGTCGTTCAAAGAATGTGGCATCTTTGTTTTATCATGTAACTCATGCTAATCTTGAGAAGAATGTTAGAACTTTCTAACACTCACCATCTATCTCATACTTTGTATGTTGATGGTACCATTGGGGATATTATCCAAGCACAATCATTTCCTGTTTGAATAATTCTACTAATTACCAAACTTGTTCTTATCCTACTGTAATCTATCCCCTAAATAGACAATCATGACAAGAAAGTTGAACTCTTCAGGTTAAAACCTCCTATCAGTGACTAACATTCAAAAGTAAATTTACAAGGTACTATGATCAACTGATAGGTCCTACACAATTCGGTGGCTTCAGTGGGCCCTCTACCCTGCTGTTGCAGCTGATCTGCAAGTAATCTTCATTATCTGGAACACTCTCCTCTGCTGAAATTATGAGCATTAGCCATCAACCCTTGCAATGGATCCATGAGTGAGATCCATTGAGTGAAGTCTGACTTGTGCCTGGCACAAAAAAAGATGATATACTATTATTGGTGGATGAGGGCAGTTAATGATACCATTTAACTAGCTAATTAGCCAAGTGAAAATGCTAACATCCAACAAATCCTCTAAGACATCTCACTTTTTACTAAGTCTGGGCAGCCACCTTCTCATCACACCTTTGATCTTAGGAGGTTGGTCACCACAGGCCCTGTCCATGGGTAACATCATCCTAGGGACTGAAGAAGTATCAACAAGCTTTAATTGATGAGAGGTATTCCTGGCCTGCATATCTACATGTTTTTTAAGAATGGCATCTATTGGAGCCTATACAGAACTGAGGACTTCCTTTGGGTCCTGCCCTTCTTACACATCACTTCCTGGGGGGAAGTGTGGCTGCAGAGCCATGGGTCTGCTGAGCCAGTGTTGTTGGGTATACATTAGCTACACAGAACTTGGCTGTTAACTGTCCTACTAAGTTACATGTGTTACCTGTTCATTCCTGGCAGGTTGCCCCAGAAGTATCGGGCTCTGTGAGCAGCGGACACTTTGATCGCATCAATCATCACCGGGTTACACTGTAAGAAGATGGATGAGAAGGGCTCTCATCAAAACACAAGAGGCAGTCAGAGCGAGCCCTGATCAGGCAGGTGACACGCTATACCTGGCTGAGGAGCAGATATGGCTGGAGGACAGATAATGGACCATATTAACTAACAGACATTAAGGATTAAAAGATTAACTTCTGCCCTAAAAAAAAGAGCCTTTAGGTTAAGGATGAGAAAAACACAGTAGTCACTTGTCCTGGATGAGCTAGTGCTCACTTGTTCTGGATGAGTTCATAGGAAGGAGTGCTGGTGGCACAGTGGTTCAAACACCTAGCTTCTCATCAACAGGTCATTGTTCTAACCCAGTCACTTCAGAGGAAAGCTGTGGCCTTAATGGAGCATTTACCAGATCCTCATTGTCCCAGTCATGAGACCTAAGTCCCCCTTACCTCTAGGAATCTTGAGATGTCCTGCTTGTCACCAACCTTCATTGCTACAACATTCTCAAACATCCAGAAGAAGGGCCTGTTGTCCCCCTCTTTAGGGCGTGCATAATTCAGCAGGTGGTAGAACTCAAAGAAGAGACGGCCTGTGCCCTCTACGATAATGGAGAAGTACAAAACCTCAGAACAATTCCTAGTTTCCATCTATCCATAACCAGCAAATCAATGGCTTCCTAATCATCTGATATTAGAGCCCATTTCGTGATGTATACCCAATCTCTCTGGGATGAACAAACAAGGACAAAAGTCAATGGTTTGAAATTAGTGTTGATCTGGTTTGAAATTAGTGTTGATCTGAGATGGCTGCTGATTTGCAATGTGGCTCAGATAAACAGGTAGTATGAGGCAGTTTGATGACAGCTGAGGCCAGTTAACCAAGAAAAGCACTCAGGTATCATGGGATTTCTTGGACACATCAGAAAAGCAGGGATGCTCACCGTACAGGCCTTTCCGGGCAGGGTTCACATTTGAGAGGTCATTACATGGGCTTCCACCAATCACCAAGTCAAATGGGCCCCATTCCTCAATCTGAGAGAGAAAAGTTGTTACCCTTAGAGGAAGGCATGAAGGTGAGGTGAGAAGAGTGCCAAAGGGCCTGCAGGACCTGGATTTCCATGTATATCCTCAAGAAAAACTACTCCTAAAATCTTGTTTGTTCACTAACTCTGTTAACACTGAGTATCAGGATGTAGGGAGTAGTTTAGGGTGATACAGAGCTCTGGGGTTTATGCTCACATTTCTCTTTGTAATGTTCCTGACATCATTCACGTATCTGATATTTCCCTCATGCTTAACAGTTCCAACAGCAATGGACTCTTCACACACTTCCGAGGCTACATACTTCTCCACTTTGATGCCCAATTCTTTAAGGACCAAATATCCTGTGGGAGTTGAGGAAAAGGGATTGAGTGAGTGGAATCACACAAAGGCCTTAGGGAAAAAGCATGAATGTCAGCAGGGCTGAAATCACAGAACAGTGGTTTCTGAAAACAGTTGATGGTGATGATCTAGTCTTTCCTGGTATTGGTGGAGACATTTGGGCCCACCTTGCTTTTCCCAACATCATCATATAGGTAGGCAAGCCAGCAGAGTCTGTAGGTGACCCTAAACTCACCTGTTGCAATTCCATCAAATAGAGACAACACTCGAATAGGCTGCCTCCTGGCTGCAGGAATCGCAGGGTACAACTTTGGGGCTTCCTGTCAGGTAAAGAAAGAAGCTCAGTTGTCAGGGAGTAAGGACATAGCACATCTCTGGGGGCAGGGCATTATGAAGTGCTGGGGTCATCCTCTGCTGTGAGCTTAATGAGCTGTTTGTTAAGTACACAGGAGCTTTGGTGACCAGCCCTGTATTTTGCCCATTCCATCCTAGACTGGGATAACTGATGATAATGCAGTACAGGTAGACATTAAAGACACATGGGCTTGGGTCTCACAGGAAAAGCCTGAAGAATCCCTCCAGGAAATGTCCATTGGAGCCCTTGAAAGCATTAACTCAGATGATTTGTTCTATAATTTCTTTGTTGTTGTTAAGTGACCCATAGTGACTCTGTATAGGATTTCCGGAGCAGATGGGTGAGCTAGAACCTCCATCCTTGTAGTTCAAACAGCTTTGCAGTCTGGCACATTAACCCACAATGCTGTCAAATCAGTTCTAACACTGTATAAGGTTTCTTAGTAGTAGCTGGTGCACAGTATTTTCAGGAGGGCCTAGTGGGGTTACCTGTAACTCTTCACAAGCAAATTCCTAATTTGTTCAGAGCCCTGAAGCCCTGGGGTCTGTGGGTCCAGAGAATGCACTGGTTGCTTACGTATTCTCGCCCCATGTCACTGGTGAAGAAGGACTGCAGACGCATGTTCCAGTCTTTGCGGCGCCACAAGACGCCATGGCAGCGCTGTGGAAGGCACATATAGCAGCTCCAGGGTTCTTGCTGTTTGGCCTCCTCTGCTGTGCCTGTGCCCACCAAGACCTCCAGACACTCAACACAGAAGCACCTGTGCCAGTGACCGGGAACAAGGGACGCATGTCAACAGGCAGCTGTCCTTAGCATTCCTACCCAATGGACTAATAAACCTTCTCAGCTTCCACAGCTGCTCTTTGCTAACCCTGAATCATTTGGCCAAGTCTGACTTCCTTGGATAGTGCCCAAATACCCAGACCGCGGAGCCATGTTGATCCCTTACACCAAGAAGGGAGTTTCATGACTCTAATCTCCTCATTGACTTAAAGAGAAACCTAGCTTAGGCTCATCCATACAGTTACCATACTACTTTGCAGCTATACGAGGCACAGCCACCAATTACCCTGTGTCCTTATTAGCCAGGTCAGTTTGGCTTAGATGGGCTTCATTTCCTGCTATGCCATCTTGGGGATGTGGCCCAGCTGTGTGACTCACCGGCTACAGCTGGTGTTGCTACAGAGCAGCAGTTCTCGGCCCTCACAGCACACGGTGCAGTAAGACTGGTAACCATCCTCATCATACATGTAGAACAGCTCCAGGAAGCGATCCTAGTAGACACAGACAACACCCTGGAAATACTCACCCGCAGGCTCACAGGCTGTGATCCTTCGTGGTGGGCACAAGTCACTCCTGGCTTCAGAGGACATGAAGCAGGAGGTATGTGTGTCTGCTCAGTGTCATGAGCTATCCTTAGCATCGGTCTTCAGACAAGTGGGGTGCATGAGCACAAAAAGGGAATTTCTAGGGTGTATAGGCTTGGGCTTTTGCTGAAGAAGCAGAGGTTATCACTGAAGAGGGAATGGGTGGCAATGGCACTTACCCGGCATGTCTGGCAGAGCCCACCCTCAAACAGAGGATGGAAGGAGACCGGGTTTTTCCTACCACAGGACAAGCAGCTATCTGTAAGAAAGACAGTCATGGCTTATACTAATTGAGGCCCCACTATAGCATAGGCTTTGTGGTTGAATCTAGCAATTGAACAAGACTCTTCATGTGCTACTTATGTTCTCAGCATACTTGTCCAAATGCTTTCAAGTCAAGGACCTCAGAAGTACTGTAGGTCAGTGAATGGGGCCCAGGGACTTACGATTCATGAAACCTAAAACAGCATCTGGTTGTAGTTTCGGAGGTGTAGTGCTGGTGTATTGCTGTGGGCTACAGCATTGGAGCACAAAGCTAATTTGAACACCAAAGTCTCCAGTTCAAACTCAGCTGGTTGCTTGCACAGGGTGGCTATGAGTCAGTAGACTGGAAGGCACTTAACAGATGAAGGGCAGATTCATATCACTGACTAGGTGCCTAGTTCATTGTTCTTGTTGTTGTTAGAGGCCTTGTGATTCTGTTCGCATAGCAACCCACTATGGGTTTTCCAAGGAGGACATGGTGACTTTGAACACCAAAACTGCAGTTCAGTGCATTAATTCTCAGGGCTACAGCAGGAAAGTGTGAAAGGTAGAAGATGGGAGAGGGGAGAAAGGAATTAAAGTTCTTAATATAGTCAGGGAGTACTCTAAGCTTCACCTTTCTCTAGGGTTCATTGTCAGGAGATACAATACTGTCAACAGAATTGGAGTAGCCACTTTATAAATGTTTGTTAAATGAGGAAGTAAGGGAGTTGCTCTTTCCTCCCAAGTTCAGAATTCATTTATAGATCTGTTCTGGGCATGGTTTCAAATGCAGTGGTAATGCCCAGTTGGGTCAAAAGGAACATGAAAGGGTCTCCCTATTACTTCAAAACTACAACACTTGTTTGGGAAGATGCCATTGATAATGGTTTCAGGTATGCCTGGCTTGTCTATATAGCTTCTTTTCTGTCCAAATTCCTCAACTTTGCTGCTCATTTACCTTAAGGGCAACTCATTTCTATGACGTGTAGCAAAGAAGACACAGGGAGACATTAACTCCCAAATCCCACTAATGCCTTTACCTACGGTCATAGCATAGGGAGACCTTGTTGAAGTCCAGCCAGATTATACAAGCTGAACAAGCAGGCCTAGAGCTCTCCCTCTAACAAGGTAGGGATTAGAACGGATAACATTTACCTTCCAGATTGCTCTTGTTGTTGGTAACATCTGAAACCATTTGCTCTGTTTAGAAAAGAGGGAAAACAGGTCAGGTGGGGTCAAGCAGGTTCTTCATGTTGAATTAACTATGTCAAATACCACAACCCCTTGCTGAATGATCCTTGGACCTGTCAATGCCTTACAGGAGTGCATGTTTCCCATTTCTAAACCAAATCACCTCTACTCTGATCCTCCTCCCCACGGTCTTTGCCATTGTTGTAGCAATTTGTCTTGAGGCGCTTGGGTGGGGGGCAGTGGTCTGAGATGGTGGATTCGTCAGCTGTGCGTCTTCGTGTCTTGTTCTCTGTGTAAGGTAAGATGACAGCTGTCACTTGAGAGGAGGAAAGTTCAAGGAACAAGTGAGGCCAGGATTGACACCATGGCATTCCTGGGTACTAGATGTATCTGAATTGTGACAGGGGTAGGTCAATCCTGGCTGTCAAGATGGCCCACAGGATGGGTACCTCAAACCTAGCAGCAATTCAAAGACCTTAGTCTCAGTTTCCATGGCCTTCATGATAGGGCTTTAATTTATACACATTATGAAAGAATACCTTATAGACAGCTTGATACATGGTGTTGTTAGAACAATGTAAATAGTAACGTATTAATAGCAAATGAGCAAATGATCTGAAAAACTAAATAGATGAAATACTTTTAAATGTAAAATAACTTCCTTTTCCAAACTAATTTGAGAACTATCATTATCTTAGCTATGTTAAACAAAATGTATTAGTATTAATTTAATCTGTTTCTTCTTTCTAGCTGTTTGTGATTCTTAGACAACTTTTTAATTACATACATGGCTTCCATTTACATTTCCTTTGGGTTGTTCCCATTTACAGTGACATGAAGAAAAATCAAAGCAACATTGCACATAGGAATATATTGAACAGCTATTAAAGATCATAAATACACAAATGACATGACATTAATTTGTCTTATTACTTATGTTGCGTAATCAAGGGCAGAGCAGGAAAAACAATTAGATCACAGAAAAAGCTAGAAGGTGCCTGGGAGGCAGTTGAGAGGGTGGGGAGTGAAAGTGAGGGACAGGATTAGGGGTTGATTGATTCTTCCTAGTGGATATGCAAATATGTTGACAAGAAGTGCATAGAAAATAGTGTGGTAGTGCAGATAGATAGAATATGGGGAGGGAATACCGTGTTTCCTTGACTCTAAGTTTCCACTGTCTTTACGACGCACCTTCGGCTTATTAACTTTTTTGAAGGAGAAATGACAAAACAAAACAAAAACACTGCATTAAATGTACAGATTGTTAGACACATACCAGTCTTCAGGAGAGTAACAATCTGAAACCACATGAATTAGTCAAAATGATAAGGACAGGGAATATCCCATTGAAGAAACTTAAGGTTCTGTAATTACCAAGAAAATTTCTTTCTTTGAACAGATGTTAGAGAAGTTTCCAGCTTAGACCCCAATGGCATGTACTGATTATCAGTAGTTAAGTAATCTAGGGCCAGACATGGCAGGCATGGTCTTTTATAGGCCTTGGACATTTGGTTTTTCCATTGTCCAGGAAGCCTCATTAGCCCTGTGATTATACTCTGGATGCTGTAAACTGTGTGTCCTCCCGAGGTGGCAGTTTTCCTTGAGACTCAATCCTACCTGGTTGTTTGTTGTTGGGTTTGAGGCCCTCAACCCCTGTAGGCTTGAAGCCCCCATGGGCCCATTCCAACATGGGCTTTAATTGGTCCTCCAAGGAGTCTCCTGGGCTGCCAGGGAAGGTCTTGCCAGCTCGGACTCGGGCTTTCTGCAGAAATAAAGGCAATAATAAAAAACAAATAGGTAGCTGCTTGCTAGGTCCATCAGCTGGGCCCAGCATTCTCCTTCATAGTGGGCCCTTTCATGACAGACAGCTGTCCTGGGCTGTGGTATGTGAGCAGGATAAAGGGCCTTTGCATGGAGACAGGCAGTAGCCCATTCTATCAGGGGGGGAGAGTAAACCTCAGCAGGGTGTCCCCTACACATCACTGTATGGCCTTTGTTTGGGTTAGCATCAATAGGATTCCCCTTTGTGCCTTGAGAAAGCTCTATTTCTTGTTCTATAGAAGAACCATGTGGCTAATGTAGATGTTCACTGAGATGTAAATCCATGTTACCTGTCAGAGGTTGGTTCAGTCAGGAGTTCTGTGTCAAGGTGGAGGATGAGAATGGGCTGACAACATGGGCCAAAATTAAGGAGAAAGATGACTTCATCAGTGTGTCTTGCTTAATCTTAAGACAGAGCAGAGACACTCCAAGCTATGACATCATTGTAAAAGCCTTATTAACTGATATGTCTACAGAGTCCTACACTGTTCCTTATCTTGCTCCCATAACCAACTTATGTGTTACCTCCAGGGCTTGGAACATAGCCTTCCTGTATGAGACCAGCTTATTGTAGGTGGCCAGGTTAAAGTGCTGGCTGAACAGCCCCAGGGCCATGAGTTTGTCTGCAGAGACCTGGAAAAGAAAGAAGTTATTACCTCATGAATTGCAGGTTGTGCTATGGAGTTCTCTCACATGATCACACCTTTTAATAGAGACAATGTAGAATATTCTGAATAAACAGAACAGGACTGCTAATCACAAGTTCTGTGATTTGAACTGCCAGTGGCTCTGTGGGAGAAAGATGAGGATTTCTGTTCTTATGAAAATTTAAGAGCCTCAGAATCCCACTAGAGTCTTTATGAGTCCTAAGTAATATATCTAGTTGTTTGGCTGCAGTCTATTCCAAGGAGCTGAGTTTGAACCATTGAATTAGCGCTTTAGCCCACCATGGCACACCATATAGTCGTCACAGGAGTGCTAGTGTGGGGCTGTAGGATAAGACTGGTGCTTCAAACCTAATAGCTGGTCGTCTGAAAGCCTGCAAATAACTGAATTGGCATATTAACAACCTCCTCAGAAACCCTGTACAGGGTCGCTATGGGTCGTAACTGACAGCATATATTCCATATAGGAGTAGGGGTTTTGCACTTTAGGATAAGCACTAGTAACTACAAGGTTGGCAGTTCAAAACAGCCATACAGGGTTGCTATGAGACAGAACATATTTACTAATGTGGGTCCCTCAAGCCTCTTTCCTGTGGTTTCCTGGGATTGTTCAGGGTGGTGGTGGAGTGGAATTTTCACACATCATTTTTAATAGGCAAGTGTTTCTCAAGTTGTTTTATGTATCAGTTGTTACTTCCCTATGCTTGATTCCCTAATTTCTAGTTTCTGAGAATGGCAAATATTAGCTACAATTAGTATTAAACTTTCTTTAAAGAAGCAAATGAATTTAGTACTTGGCCCAGAAAATGCAATAGTTGTGATTTATTTGCATCTGACTTCCATTAGACATTGTTCCCCTAAGGCCCTGGGCCTTTGCAGAAATAGGATTAACATACTTGTAGACATCACTAATGGAGCTGGCTAAAATGGCAGATTCCTGTGCATTAAATTGTGGACTCTATTGTATGTTAAACTGTGTGCTTGCCAGAGTACAGTCCAGATTGAGCCTGGCCCACACTGAAATTCTACCTCACAAAGCTGACAGCCTCTCATGCATTCTCTTTGCATCAGAAATGATTTGCAGATCCCATGTTGAATGTCATTAAGTCAAATCAATTATAACCATTAAGCTTTAATCCATCTTCTATTTCATCGAAGCCACTGCCCACATCCTGAAATTAGATGTTCAGTGACAATGACACTTTGGGATACTTCTTCACCTCCCTCTGCTGGCCACAGAAGGCATCTGCAATCTTGCTGATCAGAAACTTTTTTTTTTTTAACTCTAACCTTTTGGAGAGTTTCAATGTGTTCAAAGTAAATCATCTGAGGGAGTCCAGTTCATTAGAAAAGTAGAATTTTTTAGTTGAGTATGCACTCATGAATGTACCTGATGGTCCTTCATTTTCTATTTTCCTCCATCCTGATTCATATTGTGTAATTGTACAACCTCAGCTTCTATGGACCTATGTACTACTCTTAGGAGGATCACAGAAATGTGCCTTCTACAGAAAAAAGAACCAGAGCAGTGTCATTCATGCCCAACAAACTTGTCTCCAACTGTCTAACTTTCTCAGAAAGTTTATAATTCCCACTGTTGTTGTTTTTAAGTACTGTGGAGTTGGACTCAGTCACCCTGCACCGGGTTTCCAAGGCTGTAAATCTTTACAGGAGCAGAAAGCCTCATATTTCCCCCAGTGGAAAAAGCTGGTAGTTTTGAACTACTGACCATGAGGTTAGCACGATGCTACCAGAGCTCCTTATAACTCACACTAGATGACCTCAAAACTATGTCAATGCCCATCTCCCAACGACCCAGATGCTCAGAGGCAGTCATCCCTGTTCCTGCTTCTGGCATGGTAATCTCTTTCTAGAGAGAGCAGGTCAAGGACTGAATGTAAGAGTGAAGAAACAAAACCTTTGGGGTCTACAGGGCCTTATTTGAGAGCCTGCCTGGTACTGAACTTACCTCAGAGAATTTGCCATCACCAAACCACTGGACCCAGCGCATACCAGCTATGGCCTGTCGCTTTGAGGTAACCTTCCAGGAAACCACCATGGCGGGCCACCAGGAAAATCCCTTGATCTTTCCCCACACAAGGTCTCCTATTCCAAACTCCTTTCCATCCTGTAGGAGAAAAGCCAGGTGAATAATTAAGACAATAATCACAAGATCAGACCTATAGCTTTTTATGAGGGTACTGGAAGAATTCTTAGAGACTAAAAGCGAATTGAGAAATACAGATTTAACTAGCAGTGTGTTATGGATGAAAATTAGTGCAAAATAAAACAAGGACCCTGAATGAGGCAGCATTGGTTGAGGCTGGTGTTGGTGGTTGCCTAAGTTCTGAAGTGTAGGTTCCAATTCATAGTGACCCTGTACAGGGTTTCAGAGGCTGGAAATCTTTACGTGAACAGAATGCCTTATCTTTTTCCAGTGGGATAGCTGATGACCTTGAGGTTAGCAGTCTAATTCACAATCTCTATTCCAACAGAGCTCCTTTGGTTGAGGCTAGGTGATATATTGTTCTAACATTATTCTAACATCTGTGACATGACAACTGAATATTCACATCAAACCTGAAATGGGATCACAATTAAACAATCTAGAAATTATATCCAATAGTGGCTTGGATGTTCTATTATAAAGCAGTAGACTTCCTGGCACGTAACAAACAACAAATATTTTCGGGAATGTACACACATCGCTATGAAGTATGCAGTACACTGTGCCTTTTCTATGTCAGAAAACTGAGCAGTGTGGTCTGTTTTCCTAAGTTATGTCTGTTGAAAAAAAGGAAACTTTTACCTACCTCAAAGAGCTCTAGTAGCAGAATAATTACAAATCAGGCTGTTAACCTCAAGGTTGGGAATTCAAATTACCAGCTGTTCCACTTTTTCCTTAAGTAAAGATTTACAGCCTGGGAAACCCTGTGCAGGGTCACTTTGAGTTAGAACCAACTCCATGGTACTTGACAACAATAACACCTCCTCTCAGTGATGTAAGCAAAGTTATACAGTTATATATTACTCAGAATAGCTCAATTTGTTTAGTTGACAATGGTACAAAAACAAATTGGGCTTTTTATGAACATTAAATAATAAGAAAAGAAAACCTAAAATATGGGGCAAAGTTGTGTTTATCAACACAAAGTATAAATGTAACATTCAAAACCTTAGGCAACAGATGATTATTACTGCTGTTTCACGTTAATCTACAATCAGCATTTGGTACCCTTAGCAGAAATCCCTCCTGACATTACCTGATACTCAGTACCATCGACTTCTTTGCCCTCGATATCCACCTGTGGGGACCCCAAGCTCTCAAGCTGACTGTCGTGGACCATGCTGTCATACGGTGTACTACTGCTTTGGGGATTCACGTCATCGTCTGTGAGATCGATGGTGAGGCATGGGCTGGCTGGAGATGAACAAGGGGTGCCTACAGATGATGTTGCCCGTCGCCTAAGGGACTGCAGACAGAAGGATACAGAGTTGGGCCTTAATAAAGCAGACTGGTGACCAGAGACTAAACACCAATGTTTCCCAGACAGACAGAATGAGTGTGAAGAGTTAAGCAGCTTTCCAGAAAAGAAGCATCCTGTAAGTGGCAAGAAAAAGTTGTAACAAGTTCTTTTAGAGCAGAACTGAGAAGGAAATGTCAAAGACTTCCCCTCTGTCCTCCAAAAAAAATACCCAGCTTGGAGAAAGTCATTGTCTTAATCTACTGTGCACAGGAGTATTCCAGGAACATTGGAGTGGCCTCAAAGACAGTTAAAGAAAACACTCAGGAGACCAAGAAAGTCTTGTAAGTATGCAGTCAACAGGTAATCGTGCACAATTCCAATCCAGGATTGAGTCAGGTTACCCCCCAGCAAGGATAAGCAAGATCCTGAAAGTAAGTTGAGTATGAAAAGGAAAGCAAACAGGTTAGGCACCAGTCACAAAAGGGTGTAGATCCTTCCCAAATACAGACAGGAGCAGGGGTCTGGGCATCTGGGAGACCAACCCTAGTAGTCAGGAACTCCACTGGGGACTCGTCCACATGATTCTGACCCTGCCGGCCACGGGTGGAACGCAGGGCAAGCTTTTGCCTCTCCTGTCTGGAGGCACTGTTGCTATTTCGAGTTCGTACCTGGAAGCAAGAGAGTATAAGCATGGGTGGGACCTTAGGTGTCTGTAGGCAGGGCCAGACAAAGATCTGGCCTTGAGAGTCACCAAGGATGTATGGTGGCCACGGGTCAACAGAGTTGATATTCAATTAGATGGCGTTGCTTGACTCAGAAGACATCACTCAGAAATCGTCTCTGTGGGACAGTGCACATGGAATCAGGTTTGGCTAGCTGAAACTGGCACCTGCAAATTGGACTAAAAATATGTTTACTTTGAAGCAAACATGTTTCAATATAAGCTCAAGGACCTGATTCTTCAGGATGGAACTGAAACATCAAGATAGTACAAGGAGCCCTCAGGTTTGGCAAATCTAGGTGTTGAACTGGGTTCAAATCCTTACTAAATCATGTTAGTGATCTCACACTATAGGTTGGATTATAAACACCAGGGAAAAATCAAAGTGTCAGCTTGTTCTCTAATGGGGTGGGTGGTCCTAAGTGTTAATTGTCTTCTCACCCACAAACCTCAAAATGTAAGTTATTGAATTGTTCCTGAATGTGATGGACAATTATTGCAGGTACCAGGCAGCTGAGACCTCACTTTATAAACTATTAACCCCAGGCATTTTTCAGATAATTCCAGGAATGAGTTCAAATCTGCTATATGAATGAAAATCTTGAAGAAACTCTGTCCATGATCCTAATTTCAAAACATTCATTCCCTTCCTTTGAAAACAACCCATGGGAGATTGAAGGGGTGTTTGTTTTTGCTCAGTTTAGTGTATAGGAACTTACAGCAGGGCTTTCAGAATGAGTTCTGGTTTCACGAAAGAGTTTGGGCATCACTGGTGTGTCAGAGCCATCTCCATCTTCTTCTTCTTCACCTTCACCAGTCAGATCCTTTAAGAAATCACATCAAAAAGTATAAAGAGTCAATCATACTGAAATCAATCCTAGTATAAATTCTAAAGACCTAAATATGTTGCTAAATCACAGCCTTAACACATGATACCTGATCACCAAAGTACCATTAAAAAAAAAAAAAAAAGAAAGAAATGCAATGCGTGTATGTTTATGTCAGGGAGAGTAATTGTCACTCTTCAGTGGTTGGAAGAAAATGCTAACAAATTCCTCAAGTTGTTTTCTTTACCAGGAAACAGGCTACTTAAATCAGGAATCACCCATATTCAATCATAGTCTGTACTCAACACACAGCACAATCGGTCTCAAAAACTGGAGTGCTGATTGGTTGAAAGGTCTAGCTGGTGGTGGTTAAGAGCCTAATCCATGACTTTTATCAACTGTGTGACTTAACTAAGCAATTCAAAGGAATAATCACCCTTATAAGGCAATGTGAGAACCAAAGAATGCAAAGCGGGCATAGAAGTTAAGCATGAGGTGTCATTGCTATTCTGGGGACAAGACCTCTAACAGTCTGCTTTAGCCTGACCCAGCAAACTGGCTCTTATTCTTCATGGATCCTGTTATTATCAATTATCCATCCACCAGAATTTCATGGCTATGTTGTTTACCACTTTGTCACCAATGCCTGACACTGACTCTTACCAAATGGACAAATCTATCAGAGTCCGGGCATGGTGCTATAGGATTTGTTATTAAGTGCCCTAGAGTCGACTCTGACCCATAGGGACCCTGTATAGGGTTTCCATGGAGCAGCTGGTAAGTTTGAACCGCCGACCTTGCAGTTCAAATGGTTTGCAGTCTGGCGCATTAATCCACAGCACCACACTAGGACTTTGCTATGGGATTAGCATGGCCTTTTTACTGAAAAAAATCGGTGGTATAAGCTCACTAGCCGATGTTCTTTGAGTGCTGAGCAGGTCGGACTGGATGGCCTTAACACTAAGACTAGAAAGGAACCTAGATGGTACTGTAGGTTTGGCATTGGGCTGGGCTGCTCATCTTAAGGTTTGAGTTTCAAATCTACCAGATGCTCAGTGGGGAAAAGATGAGGCTTTCTTCTCCTGTAACAATCTGCAGTCTCAGAAACCCTGTCCTGCTATGTTGTCATGAGTCACAGAAGATTCAATGGCAATGGCTTTAGTTGAATTTGTTTTGTTTGTTTTATTAGGATTAGAAAAAGGTAGGAATCATAAGGAAAATAGAAAGTTTTAATTTGGAAAACACAGATCAAGAATCCTTAGCTTTAAAGAAATGCAGCCTATAAGAAGTCTAGGATCCTGGTGAGGTGCCCTGGACCTTAAGGTTGGTTTGAACTGTTCCTCAGAAACCCTATATCACACATAACAATAACAAGTCTCAGGAACTCTGGTAACACAATGGTTAAATACTCCGCTATTAACACACCTATCAACAGCAAGAGAGAAAAGAGCTGGTGATCTGCTTTGGTAAAAACTATACCCATGAAAACCTATGCAGGCCGTTAGTTGTCAACTGGGCACATTAAGAACTTAAAACTGACTTCAACCTAAAACACCAACAATATCTGACAAGTTTTCTCCATATTGCAACGAAATGTAGAAGCTACATAATCCTGATGTCAAAACCACTCTGACTTAGGAAATAAAAATCACACACTCATGTTATTCATAAAGTTAACAAATCAAATTGGAAACACACCATAAACACCATAACTAAGTTGAACTTACTTTAAAAATATAAGGATAGTTTTCTTATTAGAAAGTTCCATAGAGAGGAAAAATGTTAATAGGCTGGACAGATCTAGTCAAACAAAATTCAAAATTGAGCAAGACTGTTTCATGATTAAAAACTGCATGTTAACAAAAAGGTTTTATAATGCCAACAAATGCTATCCTATGTGAGATTGTGCTTGATTACCTCCCATGACTGACATGGTTCATATTTCAACAGACATTTATGAAGTGAGCCTCTGGTTCCATAATTGATTAAAGCACTGAAATTGCCCTGAACTCTGAGAAAAAGACAACTGTACCTGAGTGTAACTTAGCAGGCTGGAGACTTCCCTCTTAGATAGTCGTGAACTTGATCTGCGGCCTGTGGAGAGGATGGTGGAGTCTATTGAAGAAGGAACAGTTTCTAGATCCAGGTTTTCCTTTTCTGACAGGGGCTGTACATTTCCCAAAACCTCTCAGGAGATAACTTAGCTACCTCAACGCCAATGGTCACTGTAATCTCTCTATTTCTTCATGCATGTGGCGTGGGAGCACAAAATCAGGTACCACATGTGCCATTTACATTTTAAATTCTGCCTATCTTCCTAGCCATGTTTCACATGCTGTGTGTCTAGTGGCTATTGTAGTTGCTGGAATGGACATAGATCGTCACACAGTGGTTGTTCTCAACACCAGGATGGGTCAACATAGGGTTTTTCATACCTGCTAGCTCAGAATATCAGTGGGAAGAGGCTGTGCTGAGTGAAGGGATGGGGACGGAAACCAGCTTCAGATTCTCCCATTCCTTATTATAACCCCAGTTCCAGCACCTAGGGAGAGGAGGGCTCATCGGCTAATGGGTGATAGGTCTTTTAAGGTGCAGCTTATGCTATGTTCCTAAGGAAAGGGAACAGGGGGTTTATCAAGGGGGTTTATCATATGACACTTCCTTCCCTGTGCTTTCTCTTGGTGTAAACCTTAGGGTCCCAGCTGATGGGCTGTGGGCATTCTTCTGAGGGGCTCTGGCAGAGGTTGTGGTTGATTAGACCCTCTCCAAACTGCCATCTGCTAGGAGGCTTTTGGGCAGTTGCAGACCGTAGAGACTTTCCCATATCCGAGCCCACCCTGTTTCCCACAGGCCCAGCCACCTCTGATTTCCGGGGTGCTGACAGCCTCCAGGACCGGGGGTGAGGGGGCATCCTTGGAGTAGGAGGATTGGTCGCTGCAGGCCCCATTGGTGATGATGGAGTCGTCTCTCCTGCTGGTGTCCTCCTCTCCGTTGAGCTGTCTGATGTCACCCTTCATTGTTTCCTGCAGAGAAGGCCATGCATGACATGAGAGGGGCAGCATGGACCCGAAGCTGCTAACATTTGCTCTGTGTCCTCACTGAAACAATAGCCAGGATTGGTTCTCAGGGTAATACTTCTGTCCCAGTACCCATCCAGGTTGCCCCCATAGCCTGCTCCCTCACCAAACTCAGAGGCTCAGGACTTGGTTCCATGTGGTCAGTCTGCCCCCAAATGCTCAGAAGCCTGTACCTGGGACAGAGCCAGGAAAGGAATCTGAGCCTTAGGTTATGCTGTGCAATTAGCAGGCCCTTATAATGCCATTTAGCACAGTCAGCCCTGACCTGTCTGCTGCAGATCCCTGGTCTCTGCCCCTATTTCTCTCTCCCTGCCCAGACTCTACAGGGCCTCAGGAAAGCAATGCATTATTTTCCCTCCTGACCCCTTTGTTTGCTCTCTCCTTCCCCTCAATCTCCAGGTCTTCTCACCACCTCCTCCCCCACAGAACCACATCTCTCCTCTCCATGGCAGCACAAGCCCCGCCCCAGCGCAATCTCAGAGGCCCATTGGTCTGCTGGCCTGTCCCTCATTCCCCTCCACCCTCACCAGCTGAGCCTCACAGTCCCAAGTTCCCAGGAAGGGAAGGGGTGGAGGAGGTACAGGCAAAGGGAGTACAAACTAGAAGGAATTCCCCTGATATTGTCCAACTATTGCCAAGGCCTCCTGGGAGTTGGTATCCCCTTTGCTGCCCCTCCTGGGACTGTGGTCCAGGTCTTTGCTGTACAGCCTGAATAGCTCTATGACCTTGGGCCTGGCTCTCTGGATGTGAGAAGCTTGAGACAAAGCATCCCTTTCTCATTTAATCATCTGAATGTGATTGTGTGTCTGCTTTAGAGAAAAGGAAAAACTGATGCAGACAGGCTAAAAGTCTCTAAGGTCACACTGATATCTATAAGATTGTTAGGTGCCTTCAAGTCAGTTCTGACTTGTATAGGGTTTTCAAAGAGTTTATGTTGCACCAAACTTGTGATTAACAGTTTGGTGTTGAATCTAGGGCACCACACCAGGACTCCACCTAAGAGGTTGTTGTTAAGTGCTATGTAGTTGGTTCTGGCCCATAGCAACCGGGTGTAGTGTTTCTGAGGAGCAGCTGGTGAGCTTGAATCTTGCAATCTGGTGCATTAACCCACAGAGACACACTAAGACTCCATCTAAGAGGTAGGCCTGGATTAAAATTGTTGGGGGCTCCTGGTCTGACCTGCTGTTCCCTGGACACCCTATATAGGATCACTAGAACTGACTGGATGGACCTTAGATCTTTAAAGAGTCCTGGTATGACTGGAAACCACAAGGTTCAAACTCACCAGCTGCTCCTTGAAAGCCATATATGAAGTTGGTGTGAGTCTGACCTGTACTTTAGTGTTGTGCTTAGAATAAGCACTGGACTGCAAGGTAGTTCTGAACCACAAGGTTGGTGGTTCAAACTCACTAGCTGCTCCTCATAAAAGCTATGCAGTGTGTCTGAGTTGAAACTGACTGATGGCACTTCATGAATTGGACCAAACTCACCATCTTCAAGTAGTGGAGCTCTGGTTGTGCTGTGGATTCAATGTGTTTGATCGCCAACTGCAATCTCAGCAGCTCAAACACATAAGCAACTCCAAGGGAGAAAGGAGGCTAACTGTCTATAGGGTTGCTGTGAGTAGGAATAACTGTGATGGTAATGTGTTTGGTTTGTTTTCATCTTTTAAGTTACCACTGCTTGGTCCTTATCCCATGAGCCACTGGGTGGGTTCCAATAAGTTAATTTTGTATTATCAGTACTTAGCCTTTGTAACACCAGGGCTGTATACTAAATAGTGCATGCTGGGGCACAGAATAACAACTCAAAAGGAATTCCAATCATTACCACTGCACATCCTTCAGTGTGCAAAGGCAGAACATAATGACAGGGTGAGGGTGCCATCTCACTTCTCTGGATTCCCTTGATACCTCTACAAAGTCACTGAGGGTCCCTTATTTCCACCTGTCTCACCTCAAACATGGGTTCCACATTCCACCTTAAGCAGCTACAGAATGGTGTTAGCACTTCTTTGGTCCTAGAACCCTGCTTGGGAAAAACTTCCCTACAACTGGCTTAGGCTGTCATTCCACTAGGGTACCAAACTGCCTGTGTCCATGTGCGGTTCAGAGACTCACCAAATTGCTGTTATTAAGCGCTGCTCAGTCAGATACAGTGACCCTAATGAATAATGAAGTTAACCACCAACCTTGTGGTTAACAGTTCTTATGGTTAGCTTATCCTATGTTGTTGTTAAGTGCCGTCGAGTCGGTTCCGACCCATAGCGACCCTGTACAGGGTTTCCAAGGGTGTAAATCTTTACGGGAGTAGAAAGCCTCATCTTTCTCCCGCGGAGCGGCTGGTAGTTTCGAACCGCTGACCTTAAGGTTTGCAGCCCGATTCGTAACCACTACGCTACCATAGTCTCCAGTTATCCTCTAGTCTCTCAGGGGTAACTTCTAGAAGCAGTATCTGGTACAAGAAGTAATATTGTCTGGGGAACTTTGATATTGGCTACCCAAAATGGCAGCAAGAAGTGACCAGCTTACAAGGTTTCAATAGGGAACCTAGCTCCACAGGATACAGGGAAAGGTAGAAGCTCCACTGAATTGTTTCCAACCTGCCTGGATGAGGTTGATAAAAGGTGAGGGGAAAAGGACTCCTGTGGTTCAATAGGGAATGATTGCTATCAGGTCAGATAGTGAGTGTTGGAAAGGTAAATGTGAATGTTTGGTAACCAAAGGAGGGGAGTGACTGATTTTGCAGTCTAAGAGCAGAGATCCCAGGAACCATCAAGGGAGAAAAGGCTGGGGACTCTGGACTCATGGAGGCAGATGGGCTGTGGGATGGCAGCTGGGGGGCAGGCGTGTGGGGTGTACCCTTTGGTTGTTTGATGATGCATGCAGGGGATTGTGATAATTGCAATGAAACAAAACAACATAGGATGAATGTAAAGATACTTTACATGGGTGAACATTATCTTCACATTCATCGTATCTTATTTTGTTCACCCATGTAAACTAACACATAATTCACAATAAAAACTTTAAAATCTCACAAAGTGGGAAAAACAATATGAAAATGGAGAGCCACTGGAAAGAAACAGGATGACTGTGGTAACTTGGGACAGTGGGTATTGGGATCATTAAGGTGAAAACAAAAGTGTAGGATTTTTTTAATGTAAAGCTGATGATCTCATCTGTAAACCTTTACTCAAATCACAATAAAAAATTTTTTTCTTAAAGAATTAAGTGTCTCAGTACCCACCAGGTGGTGCTGTGGGATTCACTGCAATCATGCTGGTGGTAACCCCAAGTGGGGAGTCCTGGTGTGATGCTGTGTTAATGCTTAAACCAGACTGCAAAGCTGTTTGAACTGCAAGGTTGGCAGTTCAAGCTCACCAGCTACTCCTCAGAAACCCTATACAGGGTCGCTATGGGTCAGAATTGACTTAACTCCCAAGTGGAGCTCTGGTATTATAGAGCCTCAAGGTCAGCTGTTTGAAACTGTTCTGCGCCTGAAAAAGTTGAAGCTTTCTGCCTCTGAAACCCTGGCCAGGGTCGCTATGACTCCAAAGCACATCACCTCCACATCACCATTAGCCAGGCAAGTAGAATTGTTATGTACGGCCTATTTCCATCCCTAAGCATGGGGGAAGGACAACTAGCACAACCCTACTACAATGTGTCATTCTTGACTCAGTGGACCCTATAGGACTGGGTTGATGAGGTTTCTTCAGAGTTCAGGAATACTGTGAACCATGTGGGATGGATCTATATATAACTTTCTAATTAGCATTTGAAATTAACTCATAAAGGCAACTTCCTTAACACACATTATTAATCACTTGAGGATCCTGATGAAATGTAGTTATTACCAGTAATTTGAACAGCAATCTAGAGTGGTGTCTGACCAGTTCTAGGTGATGAGACAGATGAGACAGATACCTCTGGTCCCTGGGCCATGAGGGACTAGCTGGATACACTCTGGACAGCTAACTACAAGGTAGGCAGTTCAATCCCACCAGCAACTCAGTGGAGACCCTGTACAGGTTCTAGTCAGAAATGACGTGACAGCACCTAACATGACAGCACCTAACAAGCTTTCCTGGGGGTCTAGGTACCTAGGATAAGCACTAGAATACTAAACACAGGCAACACCCCAGTCACTTCTCATATTCAGGGTTGCTATGAGTCAGCACTGACTACTGCACACATGTTAACCAAAGAATGGATTATATAAGATTTCCCAGACTGCAATCTGTACAGGAGATTTACTGTTTAATTACTGTTCCAAGACTCATAGTGATCCTGTATTGGGTTTCTGAGGAGCAGCTTGTGCATTTGAGTTTCAAATCAATCAACCTTGTGGTTATTCTACAATGTTTATCTGCTAGTGCTACGTTCCCAGGTCTTACCTTACCTTATCCCCTTAAAGTTAACCTGCAAGCCTTTCCTTTAGAAGGCAAATGCTTAACCTTTGTACCACCAGGACTCCTTGCCTGGGGATCTACAGTACTTGTTGTTGTTGTTGTT